GTTCGATATGTACTGAACCTAATTTATACTGAACAATTACTTCCTAATTTTCTAGGTGAGGCAACTGAAGCCAAGAGAAATTGTAACTTGTCCACAAGAGACTGGGAGAGCTACCACACTTCCCTCTGGTCTTTAATTTCTAGTCAAAAGCATGACTATGCTAGCTTAAAATATCTAGAGCATCTATAAAATATCTAGAGTATGTATTGCTGCACGGGTGGGGGGGGGGGCGGTTGGGAAGAGGCAATGACCCGGACTTTTGTTGCAAGTCCCTCAACAACAGGCAGTGACTGGTTAACTCAGATCCGTCTGCCGTATTGGTCTAATTTGAATGGAAACACCATCCTGTACTTTAAGCCAGCTCTTAAAAGAGTTGTCCTTCCTAAATCCAAAACAAGATTCACTCCAATTCTGAATCTTCTGAAGGTTTGTTTAGAAAGCTCAGATCAGGTTTTCTTCTGAGTCCCACACACAGACCAAGTGGACCTCCCAGGGACACTAGCCAGCAGCAGAACTGCTGATCTCCTTGGCTATACTAGATTCAACTACAGCTGTAACTCAACAGTTCCCAGGTAGAAGTTAGATTTTGCTAACTCTTCCCCAAGTTTGTGATATCTTCAAGCAGATTCTATTACCTGTGAAAAAGTTTTGCTTTCATGGGGCTGGGAAACAGAACAGACTTTAAAAAGCTAAATTTCCTTTTGGAAATGACAATTATAGGGGCTGGGCGCAGCGGCTCCCGCCTGTAATCCCAGCACTTTGGGAGGCCGAGGCAGGTGGATCACGAGGTCAGAGATTGAGACCATCCAGGCTAACACAATGAAGCCCCATCTCTACTAAAAATTCAATAAATTAGCCAGTTGTGGTGGCACGTGCTTGTAGTCCCAGCTACTCGGGAGGCTGAGGCAAGAGAATCGCTTGAACCCAGGAGGTGGAGGTTGCATTAAGCCGAGATCCTGCCACTGCACTCCAGCCTGGGTGACAGAGAGAGACTCCATCTCAAAAAAAAAAAAAAAAAAAAAAAAGAAAATGACAAATATATTCTCATAGCCACTTTAAAATGTAAAATGGAAGCAGAGATGTGTCAGAAGAGGAAGCCAAAGAGATCTGAAGGATGAGAAAGGCACAATGAACTGTTGAAGGCTTGAACATGGGGGCACGTGGAAGGTGTGAGAAGTAATTGAATTTTGGCAATACCCAGAGAGCCTGGAAGAGGACCCTGAGCCCCAGAGGACAACACAGCCTCAATCAACACCTTTTTAGCCCAGTGAAATTTTGAGCAGAGAACCCAGCCAGATCATGTCAGGCCTCTGACCTACAGAAACCGAAGTAATAAATGTGTTTTTAGAAATTAAACACAAAAATCAAAATAATGCTAAGAGGTCCTGAGTTGGTTCATGCAAGATGTGGGTTCAAGTGGTAGCTTTACCACTCACCTGCTGTACGACCTGCACTGTGTCTTCTAACCCCTGAGTCTCATCTCCCATCTGTACACTGGGGGTGGGGAATGTGAATATTAGTATCTACTTTCTATAGTATGAAGAGCAAAAGGAAACATTTTGCATACTGTATGGCATTCTGTAAATACTAAGTTTTTACCATAAATCTTCCCCCACAAAAATCAATGTGTTGATATAGATTCTCCATCTCTCCACATATTCCCCTCATTTTAATGAAGCATTAAGTTAGATAACTATTGTGTCAAATATTTCTTTGTTAAACAATGACATAAAAAAACCCTAGAAACAAAATATATTTACTGAGGGGGTCATACCTCTCTCAACACAGACAAGCTTGAAATGTATTTCTCCTGTCCCAGCTTTGCCCCCTCTTCTCCTTTCAGAACAATGCCTGGATAAAAACTGACCACTTGGCCAGGCGCACTGGTTCATGCCTGCAATCCCGGCACTTTGGGAGGCTGAGGCAGGTGAATAACTCGGGGCCAGCAGTTCGAGACCAGCCTGGCCAATGTGATGAAACCCTGCCTCCACTAAAAATACAACAATTAGCCAGGCACGGTGGTGCGTGCCTGTAGTCCCAGCTACTCGGGAGGCTGAGACAGGAGATTCGCTTGAACCCAGGATGTGGAGGTTACAGTGAGCAGAGATAGTGCCACTGCACTCCAGTCTGGGCGACAGAGTAAGACTCTGTCTCAAAACAACAAAAAAAACTGATCAACTACACTTATAGCTGCAAGCACACCTAACTCAGTGGCTCGCTCTTCTCACACCTCCTTAACAACCAACACTTAGAAGCACTTTGACATTCAGGATTTTCCTCAAGCCACCCAAGCCTGATCTGAGATAAAGATGAAATGACACTCTACAATAAAGGGCTGGCCCCAGACCATACCACCAGCCAAGAGCGCAGTCAGGCCTAGAACTGAAGCCATCTTATTGCAAGCTGGGTGTCTGTCTCCAAGCCCACACCACCTGGATTGGCAGAGGGCTGGGAGGACAAGGGATGCCACACACTCGCTCTGGGCCCAGGGTGGCACCAGGTTTGCCAGCCCTTTCCCAGCACCCTGTTCACATGCCCTCGTGGTGCCAAAGTCCCAGAGCCAGGCTAAAATTCAGGACACACCATGCAGGATGGTATGCGGACTTGTTTGTTTCAAAATGAATTGGCTTGTCTTCAAAACTTAAGTCAAGGCTGATCAATAATCAGAAGTCTCACAACTTACCTCAAAAATACCTTCATGTTCATTTTCTTTGAATGTCTTCAGTACTACTGACGTTAACTATCCCTCTGCTCACCCCAAAATAAATATATCTCTTGAATCATGTCAGGTCCTTAAGGAACTACAAATAAAATGACCAACATTTAACTTAATTTCTTTCTCATCAAAAGCCTGAATTCCAGATTTAACATCTAAAAAAAGCAAAACTGAGGGCAAATATGGCACTGATAAAAATCAAAAATCATAAAGGCAGAAAATGGAATTGAAAGGACTTCTTTATGTATGAGAAATTACGTTCACTATTTAGAGTCCCTTTCTAGCTTTTGAAACTGCCAGCTGATTTATTTAATAGTAGGCTACAAATACACATTTGGTACAAGTTGGTAATGTTAAGAAAGGCATTAGATCCAAGTTAACAGTTGCTTTGAGTCTTGATTGTAGATATCAAAAAGAACTCATGAGAATGTACTTTGCAGGGGAGAGGCAAGCACCTGGGCATTTGGGTTAATTTGTATAGATTTAGCTGTAAGTCTGGTTCCAATATTAGCAAGTCAGATGCACACTGCCTTATTTTTCTAATTACCTTCCATCTCCTATCCTTCTCTAGCCAAACCCCAAGGAGTGAGATGAGGGGATCTTGGGGGTACCCACCATAACACAGCCTCTAAGTGATGATTTGAAATAATACATTCTTACATACATCTCCACTGATGCAGATAAATGAGAGGGTAGTACGTTCTCTTAAGACTCAGATTTGGGAGTGAAAGACTCAAAATTACTAATGAAAGAGCATTACAGCTTTCAAGTCGTAATTCATTTCTGTCACTCATCAGTGTGACCCTAAGCTAGACTTGAACACAAAACATTGCTTTCTCCATAAAATGGATCTAATCTGCTCCATTTATCTCAAAGGATTTTTCCTAAGTTTTTTAGTTTACGTAAAAATATACAAATAAAACATAATTGCTATTAACACATTTAAGCAGACTTGTTTCCTTTTTCTCAGAGTTGGGCATTATCTTTAGGGTCTAAAGAAAACTAGATTTATTATCTAACAAATGAAAATAATTAAATTACAGAAAAAACTAATTATAGTGCTCCTCCAAATCACCAGATTCATAATTTACATTGCAATGAGTTTGCTGGTTAGGGAACTGATTAAAATCGCTGCTATATAAAATGGGTCATTCAATATTTCTTTGGGAATGCAAATTCGAGTTTAGCAAATAAGCACACTTTCAAAATGAACTAATGTTGAGATTCTAGGAGATGATTAAGAAAATTAAGAAACCATAACCCAAAAATGTTTTTAAATGATCTTACTGATTGCCTTAAAACTGAATGATTAGAAAATGAAATTTGAATTGTACGTCAATTGTAAACCTTTGTATGCAGGTACCATTTTAGAAGTATCTAGCCTTCAATAAAAAGGCTTCAGCACCAGCACAGGAGAGGACGCTTTCGGTTTTGTAGAAACACAAGTCTAGCTGTTAACTAACCTTTGGCACCCATCTTTAGGCCTGCCTTGAATACTAATCAAGTGGAAATGACCTTAACACTCTAAATCCTTTCTTAAAAATCGTAACAAGGAAACACATTCCTCTAACAGACTTTTGGAAGGTTGGAACTGACCTTAGCATTTAGTCCAATCTTCATTTTACAGAACAAATGGCTTTGGCATTTGGCAGCATTTTTTATAGAAATGATCTTGGCAGCATTCTTTATTAGAATGATCAACGATCTGTATTATTGGTTATTTCTCTGGATAATGATCAATTCCTGTGTGGTGGCAGTGTGGACTATCACACCTACAAATAAGAAAGTACGTAACAAATAAAGGCATTACATTTGCCCCATTTCTTTTTTTTTTTTTTTTTTTTTTTTTTTTTTTTGAGAGACAGAGTTTTACTCTTGCCCTGGCTGGGTGCAATGGCATGATCTCAGCTCAATGCAACCTTTGCCTCCCAGGTTCAAGTGATTCTCCTGCCTCAGCCTCCCAAGTAGCTGGGATTACAAGTGTGTGCCACCATGCCTGGCTAACTGTGTATTTTTAGTAGAGACGGGGTTTCTCCATGTTGATCAGGCTGGTCTCGAACTCCCAACCTCAGATGATCTGCCCACCTCGGCCTCCCAAAGTGCTGAGATTACCGTCATGAGCCACCGTGCCTGGCCCCATTTCTTTTAAGAAGTAAAGTAGCAACAGTTATTTCCATAAATGGTATTGCAAATTCTGGTACCTTTCGTAAATTCAGAGCAGTGATTTGGTTAGTTCTTAGAAGACAAAATTGGACATGCCTAGAATTGCGCAATGCAACAAAGGTTAACACACTTGATTTCCTGCTCACATTTATTGTGGCTAGAAACACTAAAACAGCTATTTTCTTCCCCCAACATTGGAAAAATCGAACACAATAGCAATTTTTTAAATACATAAAACTTCCTGGATCATGAATCAACATGAAACATAATAGCCTGTAGAAATCAATTGTGATCGCTTTATAAAATGTCATTCATCTAATGCATTTCTGAAATTGTCCTTAAAGCTACACAAATACACACAACTATCACATACAGGCATCCACTCATGAACAGAAAGAAAAGTCTTTTATAAGCATTGTGTAAGGAAGGCTAAAGTAATACATATTTAGATTCAGAATAATTTTTAAGAAAAAACATAGGGTTCCAAAAAACAGTGATTTACATTCAAATAAACATGTACACTTGCAAACCTGGGTGATATTTTCATGAAGCAGGCTACAAGAAAATTCACACTAAATTATTGTTCAAAGGCCTCTTTCAAAGTACAGACTCCAAGTCCAAAGCAAATACCCATGGCATGAACAAATAGGACGCCTAAGATTCTAACATTTGCTTCCACGTGGCTTTTCTCCTCACTTCCCTACCTCAAAACAAGAGAAAATTTCCTAGATGGGATAATGGCAAGATGTTGTGGTAATAACATCCCATAGGATTTCTGGATGCTGGGCTATTATATCCAGATTACAGTTTGGTGATGGATTTTTTTATTTCTATACTCTAAACACAAAAAGATTCTTGTCTTAGCATCCAAGCAACCATATGGAGACCTCATACTTCCTCTTAATACAGAAAGAGAATCACTAGGAAAGAACAAAGCTGGCAGACTGAGAGAGGAGGCATGGGTAAACTCTGTCGCTGGCCAATTAACTAAAACAAGAATATCAGCCTCTCTTATCAAAGTTGTTGGTTAAAATTGTCAGCTCTCAGGCATGGTGACACACATGCCTGCAACCCCAACACTTTGGGAGGCCAAGGTGGGTGGATCACTTGACCCCAGGAGATTAAGACAAGCCTGGGCGATACAGAGAAAGCACATCTCTACAAAAAATACATAAATTAGCCAGGCGTAGTGGTGTGTGCCTGTAGTCCCAGCTACTCAGGAAGCTGAGGTGGGAGGATCACTTGAGCCCAGGAGGCAGAGGTTGCAGTGAACCATGATCACGCCACTGCACTCCAGCCTGGGTGACAAAGAGAGACCTTGTCCAAAAAAAGAAAAAAACACGTTGCCAGCTCTCTCGTTTGTAAACAGTCTCTAGGGCACCAGAAATGTTTAACCAGCCTGGTTTTGTTGATTCTGACAATCTCACACACATTTCAAAAGAATTTACCATTTTTCAGGTACTTCCCAACATTAAAAAAAAAAAAATTAAATCTAGTTCTTGAAAAACAGTTTGACAAACAACCCCCATTCCCTAGCCCTGGCCAAAAAGTAAGCAGCTAATTCGGTGATACTATCTCTGTAAGGCAGCAAATTCCTTCAATTTGCCAAGGAAATAGCATACATATTTTCTTCCATCCTGTGATAACAAAGCATTTTAGGTTACTCAAAATCAGCCCCTGTTTAAAGACTCTTTGTGGCACCAAGCTTAAAGAGTTTGCTAACAGAGGATATTGCCACTATTAACATGCTTGTTACAAAAATTCAGTTGCAGCTGAGTTCCTGTAATCCCCTGAGCAGTTACAAATGCCTTTTACCTATAATGAGGCAGTAGGCTCTGTGTAAAACAAAGCAAATTAACTATTCAAATATATGTGAATCTATAATTATACTAATATGAATTACACTGATAGAATAGAGTTTTTTTTTTCTGAAGTATTTAGAGTTTCAAAAGAAAATAAAGACACAATATTAAGAAATTTCTAATAAATGATTAAAAATGATTTTGGTTGGCTGCCCTTCCCAAGTTTTCCCAGAGTTCTCATCTATATTCTATATAACACGTAAATTAAAACGTACATGACCAATAGATGTACTACACATACATCAGATATCAATATATACATGTGAATTAAAGTTCCTTAAATATACACATCCCCACTTAGGATACATCCTATTACATAGGCAAAGCATCATCCGTTAATAATAAGTCAGAGATAGCAGCAATTTGATATTCTATTACCCAGTTACCTCAGAATATACCATAGATCCTGAATAGTTCCTGATATGGCATCCCTGGCTTCAAGAACTCTCCAGTAACATTTAGCATAGGTCTCACAAAGCACCAGGCTGCATTGCCAATAGCAGTTAAATAATCCTGTCATTGGAGAAAAGGTTTTATTCTTTCAAAACCTCGTTATTCAAATCTGACTCATGGTATAATGGAAAAAAAGTAACAATGAGGTGATAAATTTAAACTAAAATATATAAAGCGTTTCTATTTTATTTCTTACATGTTTTTGTTGTTTTATCAGTGCCTTATAACATAGAAAGTATTCAGACTGTCCTAACAGATGCTGAAAGAGCAATAAATTATGCTGAGAAAAGAGCTGCTCTGTGTTTGAAAACATAAATGACTCACTTATCCATTAGTGTTTTTACAAACAGAGATGGCAGGATATTGTACTAAGCACTGTTTTAAAAGAGTTAGGAGTCTATGCCCTTGGGTAAGTTATGAACTTACAACCCAAATTCACATATATAATATGCAAAAAATCTTTAGGCAGATTTGCAATAAACATTTCAGGCACAGAAGGATAGAATGGCTTTTAAGTAAACATTTATTTTGTGTGTGCTATTGGGTATATCCATGCATGCTCAATGGATAGAAATTACAGGTAGGCTGCAAGTCACATGGATTCTAGATGTACATGATATACACTTTAATATTTACCATCCATGTGTACTCTTAGACCCGATTCCAAATCTATTGGATGTGTGAACACAGACCCCTAGAAAGGTCCCGGTTACCTACGACAAAAGTTTTGAAACTATCACTCTACCCGTATTTTGTATGAAACAATTTTGTAGACCACAGCTACCGGCTGTAAGAGACAAGCTGGCCAACTCGGAAAACTTACATTTGCCAAGGGAGAGACACTAAATTAGACCATATTGTTTAACAGCCTGCAACTCTTTGACTGAAAAAGGACAACTCCCTCTGCACAGCAGTTTCTCCTTCTTGAAGCTGAGATCACACAGGAGAAACCTATTGTGTTTCTGCCAAATCATAGCGGGAACATTGGGGACAGCACACCCAGTAGCCAGCAGAGGCACAACCACCATGTCAACTGCTGAGATTGGCAGCCTGCTTTATGGCTCCTACGAGGATTTCTCCTTACGCAGTCTTATCCTTCTCCTCCTTATCAGGTTTCTCCTGTGTTTCTCGTGGTAGTCTAATCAACACAGAACAGGCTCTGGCTTCTCGGTTATCTTGCATGCTGCCAACTACAACACACCGGTTACATCAAATGTTCACTCAAGCTCCTTGAATTTCGTTGGAAGTTGAACAGTCCAGTGAGATCCTTTGGATGATAAAATGATATGTTCATTCATCCCAAGCAAGCCCAAAGCTCCCGACATGCTCCATAGACACAGCTGGACTGTCAAGCCCAGTTCTCATTACACAGGAACACGAACACCCAGGATTCGGCCTTTCCCGATGCTGAAGGCTGGGAGACAAAGTCAACAGAGGCACTTTCAAAGTTGGGAAGGAGGAGGAGGCAAGGTCACTAAGTGGGGCTTTATCACTGTGCCATCTCATGTAATTCACACATCTCGGGCGTGTGAACACGGAAATCTTTAGGTTGTGGATGGGTCGTGCTTTTTCTTCTTGCCCCGACAGGACTTGCAAACACAACAGATTATACATGGGGAGGCCAGGAGCAGCAAAGGTGAAGTCACCAAGGCAATGATGCCCAAGCCTACGAGAATCCCTACCACCTGGAAATTTCAAAGAGAAGCACATTTCAGCATTGAAGTCTTTCAGCATGTATACTTATTCCAACTATGTTATCTGCTGTGGGCCAAACATTTGTGTCCCCCTGCAGCTCATATGCTGAAATCCTAAATCCCCGATGTGATGGTGTTTGGAGATGAGGCCTTTGGAAGTTAGTCGGTTTATGAGGGCAGGGCCTTCATGATGGGATTATGAAGGCCCTGCCCTCATAAACCAACTAACATCTGCTCTTACAAGAACAGATGCCAGAGGGCTTTCTTCCTTTCTCTAGGCTCTATGCCATGTGAAGACACAGCAAGAAAATGGCCATCCTCGAACCAGGAAGAGGGCCCTTACCAGGACATGACCTTGCCGTCAACTGAACCTTAGACTCCCCAGCCTCCAGAAGTGTGAGAAGCAAATTTCTGTTATCTAAGCCTCCCAGTCTGTGGTGGCTTGTTATAGCAGCCTGAACAAGACATCATCTCAGGCACAGAAGACAGTTACATTTCTGGGACCTTTCAGCCAGTGCCCAGCAATCATCTGAACTGGAAAAAAGCCAGAGAGTTACAAAGGACCAAACCAAGGATGAAAACCATCCAAATGCTAACTCAAGCTGTCACAAGCTCAGTATAGTCATGAATTATTAGTGTTCGTGCTCTCGCTACCTGAATTTTCTCAGCTAGCTCATAGGGATATTAATGACTACTAGGATATTAGCACTGACTCCCTCCAAAGGACACTGTCTTTAATAAACCTAAAACACCGTTAAAAATAAACCATGACTTCCTTTGAACCTGCCACATAAACACAAAACAGCATCTACAGAGGGATCTAAGCCCCAGCAGGGGCTCACAGGGTTTTAGAGCACTGCCTGATATGGTTTGGCTGTGTCCTCATCCAAATCTCATCTTGAATTTTAATAATCCCCACTTTCCAAGGGCAGGGCCAGGTGGAAATAACTGAATCTTGAGGGGGGTTTACCCTATACTGTTCTTGTGGTAGTGAATAAGTCTCATGGGATCTGATGGTTTTATAAATGGGAGTTCCCCTGCACAGGGAGTTCCCTTGCCTGCCACCATGTAAGACGTGCATATTTACTGAAACCTCCTCCTTTGCCTTCCACCATGATTGAGAGGCCTTCCAGCCACGTGCAATTGTGAGTCCATTAAACCTCTTTCCTTTATCAATTACCTAGTCTTGGGTATGTCTTTATCAGCAGTGTGAGAGCAGACTAATACATTGCCTTTGATAGGTAATGTGGCTTAAAGGGCTTTAGAAAAGTCATTCCACTGTTTCTCAAGAGGAAAGAACATCTGCCTGCATTCTGCATGTCGCTGTTGATTTCCTGGCAGCTCTGGTGCCCCTGCTCCTCCACAGTCTCAAGGAGACTGTGCTCATGAATTAACTTCAGGTGATTACCACATTGCTTTTCCCTAGCCCCGTCCTAGAACTCCCCAGAACCTCCCAGGCTGAGATGGGACCTCTCAGGAGGGAATAGTGCTGGGAAGATGAAGAGGTGGGCTCTTTAAGCCAACACAATTTTGCCTTATGTCACGCTCTCTGTAAGATCAGGGTACCTGTGTTCGGTTCCACATCACTGATGCTCTTGAGTGGCCTAGTTTATTTCTGCATGGCCCTTTGTCATAATGTCTGAGGAAAATGTCATTCTGAAAAATAAAAAGATTAGTTTCAGTAAATATGCAGTTTTACATTGAGAAATGAATACAAACCACATTGGATCACCAAATGGAAGCCAAAATTTTTCTCTAGTGATATTAGTGACTCCCTCTAGGAATTCCAAGCCCGAACTCTTTATCTTGGTAGTTTCGTAAATCACCATGTGAAAACAAATCATAAACAATAAGAATCTCAATTATTTAAAAAGAAAAAAAAAAAGAATAGCAGTGACCTTACTAATCTTAGCAAGGTAGCCCTGGCAGAGGTACAATGGAATGGGAAGGCCAGGAGCAAGGCAGCTGAAAGGCTGATGTGGCAAACCAGGAGAGAGAAAATGCCAGTGACTGAGCATGGATGAAGAGGAAGTTACAGTCCTAAGATATTAGAAAACTAACTAACTAGACAGAGAGACAAGGAGAAGAAGTCGCAGATGAGGGAAACCAGTTGGGTTGAAAGAAGGCAGTGGCTTTATCGAGAGAAACAACAAAACAGAGATGGAGTTTGTTGGGAAGATAAGTTTGGACATGTTGAACTTGAGAGATGGTTGAGACATCCAAGCAGGGCTGTTCAAAGGGCAGCTCATCACATAGATCTAGACTGAAAAAAAAGACTTGGGCCTCAGCAGAGAGACTAGCTCAGGGTCCAAACTAGGTGTAGATAATCTAATGGTCTGTTCATTTGATGAATGGAGAAAGGGGTTTCAATCAGGCATCAGTGTAGGTAGGGTAGAAGGAACCCACAGAAGAGACTGAATTAATCAGGAAGAGGGGTAAACTGAGAAGCAAAGAGACTGCTGAACACAAGCATTTAAGAATGGGTTGAGGAAGAGGCTGGAAGAGGAAATGAGACATGGTCAGAAAAGGAGAACAGAAATCAACAGAGGTGGTACCACTGAAATGGATCAGCAGAGGATCTAGGTAAGCTAAGGACAAGTATTCCTTGGATTCTGCCAGTAAGAAATCACACAAAATCTGGGAAAGGGGTACAGTCAGGGTGAGACTATGTGGCAATCCGAGCACATTGCAATGTTTGGAAGGTAAGTGACGTGAGTAGCAGCAAGAGGTGATTAGGTTTTTTTGAAGCTTGGCTTCTAAAGGAAAGATAAATATAGGGGTAGTAAGGAAAAGATGCGTGCTTTAAGAAAAATGTTTACTCATGTTTAAATGTGAAACAGTTGAATGCATGGATATGTTGAAAGAGTGGAGACTGAAACCACAGGAGAGGGAAGAGATAACTGAATGGGCTCAAGTCTCTAAGGCTATGGACAGAAATAGGATTCTAAAGCAGACAATTAAGCATAACTCATCCTCTGAAACTACAGGCATGAGAATCAAGACAGGAACGAGCTCATCTCCAGCAACACTCAAAATTCCTGTTTGGTGTCAGTCTCAGGCCTGGATTTTAGAGTCACCCTCTCCTGCCCCCATGCTCTCAAACTTTCCTATCAACAGAAAGCAACACCACCATCTGATGTAGAACTCCATTTACCTAGAGAAAAATGTCATTACCAACAATCCAGCGCCCCTGGCTAAAACTGAAAGTGAGATCTTAAAAAACAGTCACCAGAAAAAAAGATGCTTCAATGTTTGAAGTCTGTGTATCCAGCCATTTAACATCTGCACCATTTCATCTCCAGAACCAGAGCAGCACAAGTGACAGAACCGCATGTTCTTTGCAACACCACTCTCCAAACACATTTCAACCAAAGGATGGAGAGCTGTTAAACATATTTAGTCCCTTACACTTGGGCATCCTAAAGAGAGCCTCATGGGCTCAGCCTCCTTGTGCAGATGAACCCAATTAATATTCTGGTAAAACCTGAAGGAAAAAAAATTGTTTTTCATTTGTAATGCATGTGTAATGTGCAATCTAAAATTCTCATCCAGAATATCACTCATTTAGATGCATGCTAGGGCTTAAATATCAAACATAATTGTAATTCAAAGGCCTAGGATAAATCGATTTTTTCAATGGAAAATATTTATTCCAAGCTGAGCTGCTCAACTTCTCGAGTCTGAAATGTCCATTTTCTTGTCCCCAGTTTATACCTCTTCTTAAATCACTAAGATGGAGGTTATTATTTTTATTCATACATGTCATCTTAAACAACATGCCTAGTTTTCAGTTAAAAATCCAGCAGGTGGTGGCCAGCAGACATCACATGCTAACTGCACACTCACTCGTTAAGTATGTCTGAACTAAAGCACTACACAAATTGCTTGCTGAATTAAAGCAAATCAAGCAACCAAAACAAAGAGCTGAGAAAAGAATGGCAATTCAGTGGTGACTGAGGGCTTACACTGATATGGGCATATTTTAGAGGTCCAAATTGCCAAAACAGGGTGTTATCTATAAACAACTTATGCTACCCCAAATTTTAAAAGACCAGAAGTGAAGTAAGACCTTCTCACCAACCCTTCCCACTGCATTTTTACCTCTGAGGTTACCATTAGCCTTGGCACAGGGGTGAATAAAACTGCATCTGAATTTAGGAAGACTTGATTCTGAATACAGCACACCAATGGGTCTTGACTTTTTAATCCAGTTTGCCAGTTTGTGTCTTTTGATTGGGGCAGTAAGGCCATTTACATTTAATCTTAATATTGTTATGTGTGAATTTGATCCCGCCATTTTGTGACTAGTTGTTTGTTTTGCCCGTTTGTCAACACAGTTTCTTCATTGCGTTGTTGGTCTTTGCCATTTGGTTCATTTTTGGCTAGGGGAGGGACAGCAGGGGGTGGGGAGGGTGAAGAGGGGTAAAGTGGAGAGAAATGCCAGGTATAGATCATGGGGTCATAGAGGCAGAAACCTCCTTGCCATGTGTGTACCTATGCAGCAATCCTACATGATCTGCACATGTACCCCAGAACCTAAAGTACAGAAAAAGAAAATGACTTGATTCATGGATGGTGAGAAAAAATAATTAAGCCACGCCCCTTGATCTGGGAAGGGAACACTGACAAAACAGTAGCAATACTACTGCATGCCCACAACAGAGAGAGAGAGAGAGAGAGAGAGACAGAGAGAGAGAGAGACAGAGAGAAGGAGAGAGAGAGGAGAGAGAGAGACAGAGAGACAGAGAGATGGAGAGAGAGAGAGAGAGCACAAGCAAGAAAGAAAAAGAGCAAGAGAGCGTGAACCATTTTTCTTTAAATTCAAAAAGAAAAGAAAACCTAATAGTGGTAGGCAGAATAACTGCCTCCCAAAGATATCATGGCCTAATCCCCCAGAATCTGTGAATGTGTTACCCTATATGGCAAAAGGGATTCTGCAAGGTTGATTAAATTAAATCCTGAGATAGAGAAGACTATCCTACATTATCCTGTTGGGCCCAGTCTCCTCACACTGGTCCTTAAGGTAGAGAACCTTTCCCAGCTGTGGTCAGAGGGAGCAATGACTAAGAAGGGAATGAGAGACGTGATGTTGCTGGCATTGAAGATGGAGGAAGAAGCCACAAGCCAAGAAAAGAAGACAGCCTCTAAGGCAAGAAAGCAGATTCTCCACCAGAGCCTCCAGAAAGAAAGGCAGCCCTGCTGACACCTTCATTTTAACCCACCAAGACCTATGTCAGACTTCCAAAGTGCAGAACTATATAAGTTAGTGGTATTTTAAGCCACTAAGCCTGTGCTAATTCATTACAACAGCAATATAAAATGAAGACACTAATAGTCCTTTACATAATAGAGTGAGACAATGTCCAAATAGTAAGAAATGCCCCTAAAACAAAAACCTGCCTTCAATACCAAGGTGACATATGTAAGATAATCAAAAAGCTGTTTTTAGATATCTAAAGTAGCAGGCTTAGGAAGCCTCATTAAGAAAAATAAATTCCATTTGCAGGACAAAAATCGCCTCAATATTTTAAAAGGAAAATCTGTAGGATTTCAGCTGTGGTATGATACAGTATAGGAAAAACCGTACAATAAACCCAAGTGGAACTTACGTCCAAGTTCTGGAGACAGTACCAGCAAAACGTGTGCTTACAGTTTTTGCACATCATCTGAGCACAGCCTTCATTGCGTTCGATATAAACCCGGCAAACTGGGCATTGCTTAATGGGAGCTTCTGCATCTGTCCCAAAGAGGGCTCTAGAAACAAATCGATGAGAAATGGCATTCAGCCGATGGTCATCAATTGAATTCCCAGGGCTCCTGATGGTTAGATAATGAACTCATAGTTATCCACACTTGATTCACTTCCAAAAGATAGGGTGTGGCCAAAAACATTCTTCTTATTAGATTTACAGATAACTCATGCAAGAAGGAATCTTTATTTATTTTGGCTTTCAGTGAATTATATAATTACAGTTTCCACCACTGATTTCACTATTTTACCAACTTAATACTTCATTCCCTAAGCACACATTGCCAAAATAAGAACTGCAAGGAGTCAGTCACACAGCAGAGAAAGTAGGTCGGGGTCCAAACTGGGCATATATAATCTATCTAATAGTCTGTTCACTAGACAAATGGAGAAGGGGGGGTCTCAATTATCAACACTGTAAAATAATGTCCAATACTTTCAGAAGACCTTCTCCAAACAGACGCATAGACCAATACAGGCTCACAGCCTCAAGGGGCACAGAAAATAAGCAACAAGAATTAGAGTGGGAAAGACGGATAGGTGAGTCATAGCACCAGGTAACACTTTAGCTACTCCCCAGCAAAACCACCACCCGGCCAGGCGTGGTGGTTCACGCTTGTAATCCCACCGCTTTGAGAGGCCAAGGCAAGCAGATCATCAGGTCAGGAGATCGAGATCATCTGGCCAACATGGTGAAACCCTGTCTCTACTAAAAATACAAAAATTAGCTGGTCATGGTGGTGTGTGTCTGTAGTCCCAGCTACTCGGGAGGCTGAGGCAGGAGAATCACTTGAACCAGGGAGTTGGAGGTGCAGTGAGCGGAGAATGCGTCACTGCACTCCGGCCTGGGAACAGCGTGAGACTATCTCAACAACAACAACAACAAAACACCACCACCCAGCACACCAGTTGAGAGATACTCAACTCACAGAGTGTTATCAAATCTATCATCAGATTCAGTATGAACAATAACCTCATACTGTCAGGAGACAATTACAGGTTGAGCATCCCTTGTCCAAGAATTTGAAGTTCAAAATGCTCCAAAGTCTAAAACTGTTTAAGTGCCGACATGACAAAGGAAATGCTCACTGAAGCCTTCCTAACTTCTGATATTCAGATTACGGATGCTTAACCAGCAAAATATATAATGAAAACATTTTGAACTCTGAAAAAAACTGCAATCTGAAACACTTCTTATCCCAAGCATTTTGGATAAAGGATGCTCAACTTGTATCTTAATTCCCTTATTTTCAGATAAAGAAACAGACTCACAGAGGCTGAGTGACTTCCATGAGACACACAGATACCAAGTGACAATGTCAGAATGAAAATCCTCCTACCCTCTGAGTTCTTCGCATTGCCCCGTGATACCCACAGAGCTTCCTGCTATGGTCATGAAAACGTAGGCAATGCTGGTTTAAATCTGGCTAAGAGGGCACGTGCCTGCCCCCAAGTATTAGATCTTTTTTCCTCTCCAACTGTTTGTTCTGAGATTCAAACACAGTATTGTAGCCAGGTAGCATTACTATTCATAATGCCTGGTTCTACACACTCTGGGTGTACTTTGTGATTAAGCCAATGGAATCACAACACTGGTATTTTGTTCTTGCTGATGTAGAACAACCATAGCCCCAAGCAAAGCAGGAATAAAACACAGAAGTCTCCCACTCTGGGCCCTGCTGCTGCCATAAAATCCCTCCATATAGGCCAAGTTCAGTGCCTCACAACTGTAATCCTAGCACTTTGGGAGGCTGAGGTGGGTGGATCCCTTGAGGTCAGGAGTTCAAGACCAGCCTGGCCAATATGGTGAAACCCCATCTCTACTAAAAATACAAAAATTAGCTGGGCGTGGTGGCATGCACCTGTAATCCCAGCTAACTGGGAGGCTGAGGCAGGAGAATCACTTGAACCCAGCAGGCAGTGGTTGCAGTGAGCTGATACCGCACCACTGCACTCCAGCCTAGGCAACAGAGCAAGACTCTGTCTCAAAGAAAAAAAAAAAGAAACCTGTACTAAAAAGGTACAGATCTAATTGCTTCCTGTCATAACAAAATCTCAACCTTTTCAGAGCATCAAGTATCATGGGAGAACCCTCCTTTCTATGTTATGAAATAATTTAGGGCCATTGTTTCTATTGCTGCATTCTTTCTGATATGACTGTCATGCATCATGAGCTAGCAATTTAGTCAGGTAAGAAAATTTCTGACTCATTTTGCAAGCAAGAAGAATGAGATATACCAATACAGCCAGATACGGTATCTGAGCAAATAGCTGGGACAAGTCATGGTTTCCTACTGAGAATCAGCAGACCACAGTGCCTCACTACCTAAAGAGAAAGCAAAACTCATACAAACTTTAATTCCAGCAATATCTGGAACATTCCTCTGGGGCAAATAACTAGAAATACTTTTTTGGCGTTTTGTTTTGTTTTGTTTAGCAACTTACCAATTCTGAGACACTTCTCAGGGAGGTTCTGCAAGAAAATAACCAATCTCTAAAGGCCACATCACAACGTAACTCTTTCTACACATAATGTATGTTGAGTTTCTAAGAAAACTACCGAATAATCCCAAAGACAAAGTTTCCTTTCTTACCCGTGCTCTGTTGGCAGGACAACAGGCTGACTGTCTCTACAGGAGACCTCTGCATGCCAAGCATCCTTGCAACACGAGCAGAATTTCAGGTGGCAAGAAGGGCATTCCACCAGCACAGGCTGTCCTGGGTCACTCGATGCAACGGGGCACACTGTCTGACAGTCTGCAACAGGACACCATGTTCGGTAGGGGTCCAGATGAACTTCTAAAGTGTAAAGAAAGAAAATGTGATGATCTGTCCGGTTCACGTTTGAGTCTTTCTGGTTGGGCGGATGGACGGATGGATGGATTTAGAGCCAGAGACTTACTCTGTTGCCCAGGCTGCAGTGCAGTGGCACGATTTCAGCTCACTGCAACCTCCACCTCCTGGGTTCAAGCGATTCTCCTGCCTCAGTCTCCTGAGTAGCTGGGACTACAGGTGTGCACCACGCCCAGATAATTTTTGTATTTTTAGTAGAGACGGAGTTTTGCCATGTTGGCCAGGCTGGTCTTGAACTCCTGACCTCAGGTGATCCACCCACCTTGGCTTTCCAAAGTGCTGGGATTACAGGCATGAGCCACCGAACCCGGCCCATTTACCCTCTTTTAAAACTGACATTCATGGAAGTATAATACAAGGGTAAGGATTTCTACTATTCATCTTCATAATGGATCCAAACCTATCATTTACAAGGTTGCTGAGCCCTGCCACATTTCTCAAAGTAGGTTCTAATGGAATAGTTCACCATTGCCTTTATGAACAGCTGAAAGTGTTCTCTTTCACCACACTTTTAGAATACTTCCCACCTTTGAACATGTACAACAGGCAAAAATTTCAAATCTCTTCTACAATTATTTGGGCACTATCTTGGAAGAGAATTAAACATAAAGAAAGAACAAAAATAAATTTTTAAAAAGATATTTTTCCAAAAATACTTTGTTCTTTCAGGCACTGAGAAACAGGTAGTGAGGTTTCTTCCACATTCCCAGGAAATTAAAGAACAAGGAAGAAAAGAAACAGTTTAGGGACCAAACAGTATCTGGTGTGGCTTAGCCAATAAGTCGGATTACCTGTCAGTTTGGATGTTATGCTGCCCCAACAATGTGCAAATTAGGGACAATGTGTAAAAGATCCACATGTTCCAAAAACAAAAGGTAGAGACTTTCACAGATGGTTATAGTAGCCGGTCATAACACACTGGCTCCTTCCATATGACATACAGGAAGGAAGACAGAGTTGGAGGAGAGACAGCTATCTACTCAAGTGTTTGCAAATCTTGCTTAGTATCTCTTTTTTATTCACTAGCAGACCCCATATTCTTTCCATATACTATGATCCTTTAAGGGAACATGCCATGTAAAAAAAATGATGCTATTTAAGGGGTAGAATACCCCTTTTTTCTCTGAACTCAATTATTTTGCAAAGTTTGACAACATCCTAGTTTTAAACCCCCTACGGTTCATGATTCCTAGAAAGGTACACACAGAAGGCAAACCAATCCAAAGGATGGTGCAAAAAGAAAATAAAGGCATTAAGTAGGAATTTACTTATTTTATTTTATTTTATTTTATTATTATTTTTTTTTTTGAGACGGAGTTTCACTCTTGTTACCCAGGCTGGAGTGCAATGGCGCGATCTCGGCTCACCGCAACCTCCGCCTCCTGGGTTCAGGCAATTCTCCTGCCTCAGCCTCCTGAGTAGCTGGGATTACAGGCACGCGCCACCATGCCCAGCTAATTTTTTGTATTTTTAGTAGAGACGGGGTTTCACCATGTTGACCAGGATGGTCTCGATCTCTTGACCTTGTGATCCACCCGCCTCGGCCTCCCAAAGTGCTGGGATTACAGGCTTGAGCCACTGCGCCCGGCCGGAATTTACTTTTTAAAGTTAATAATTTTACACATTCAATGTCAAGAAGAAGTCTGTAATGTTCCAGTAAAATACTGTCTCCCCTAATATTGCACCTAGAAACGAAATAATTGGATTTGTCTTGTTGTAAGTTTTCATTCAAAAATTGCATCCTTAAATACATGGTCTTATCTAGGGATTCTGGAGGGTGGGGGTCAAAAAACAATGAGCCCTTCACACAAATGCAATCACAAGGAGGAAATCCTGTAATTCACAGATGCCCAGATCCCAAAAGAGACGGACCCTCCAAGATCTCTAAAACCTTAAGAAGTCAAGGAAACAGTAGCACACATAGGATCCAAGGTCTTGGTCTTTTATTTCTACACCATTTAATATATTCTTCCAAACTCTTACAAACACTTCACAAATACTAAGCCCAAAGAAATGAAGAGTAGTATGTAACTTAAAGTGAAAGCCTCCCATATCGAGTATCTACTTAGCATCCCTTCTAAATCAGAGGTGTTTTAAAAGTTTGAAAAAGAAGAAAAAGGGGAAGGAAAGTTAAAACACATATTACTGTTAAAATTTGTAATATCCCTAATGATCACCTTAAGATACAAGATGCAACTTGTTCTCATAGCTCTAATCAATTAAAACTACTTGGCAGAAGTTCTGACTTGTTTCTACCAGCTTATTATTTAAGGTATCTTAAATAATTAAGGTATCTTATTATTTAAGATACCTTATTATCTTAAATAATAAGACACCTGGGTGTCAAAATGGATGCACAGACAAAGGAACAATGATAGGTTTCTATCAATTACTATAAAGAAAGAACCTTATAAGCTATAAGGAGTGCAGCTATGGTGCAGTCCAGTGCAAAAGCAAGGGAAGAGTTTGGGCCACAGAAAACAGCGACCTTCTGTATTTTTCACCATTATGACAGCACATAAAGGACCATGCAAAGGCATGTAGAAAAAGAAAAAGGAGGCAAACCTTACAGCTTTCTACACATTTCCTTCATTAGGAGTCCTTATTCCTTAGGAATGTCTTACAGAGTTTAACAAAGACCAACAGTGGAGTTACTCAGAGACAGATTTTGACTCTAACAAAAAGAAAACTGACTACTCTAGCCAACTCTGCAGAGCATCTGTTCAATATCTCTCCCAAACCCCTCGAAACTTCCTTATGAAGAAGCCTATCACTATAGAATCTGGATATTCTAGAGATATTCTTTCCCACAATTCCATGAAACTAAGAATTGGGCATGTGATATGATTCTAGCCAATGAGACGCAAAGGCAGGTCCACAAAGGGGCTTTTGGGGCTGGATCTTCACTCTGATATGTGGGAAAGAAAGACCATTCTGTTTGTCAGCCTTTGGACACCACTGTGTGAGGTTATGATGCTTGGGTCATCATAACAATCTTGAAATTCTGAGGGAAAGCTAAGTGATTCAGAGACACTATTAGGTTGGTGCAAAAGTAATTGCTGTTGGTGCAAAAGTAATTACTGTTTTTGACATGTTTTTAATGGCAAAACCAGCAATTATTTTGCACCAATGTAATAAATTAACCAAAACCCATGACAGCCTACCTCTGGACTTCTCGGGTGTGAGGTACTGAAATGCCCTTGCTGTTTAAGTCACTTTTAGGCAGGCATTCTGTTCCTTGCAGCTGAAAGCATCTTAGCTGATATGGCTATTTCTGGTAACAGCGAGAAAATACCAGTTCAAACAAAGACTGTTCCTCCTGTGTGGTAGATATTTTATCAAGGAGATTAAAGCATCATGTCCAAGATGACTTTTAAAGTCTCTTCCAAATCAATGATTTTATCATTCTAAATGTGGGGCATGTGGAAATGGGTATGTAAGTAGAAATTTAAAAATGCATCCACATACATCATCCTGTAGAAAACTTAATGTGTACCATATTAAAAATTTATACACCTTTGTAAAAAGTTAACATGCTATGCCAGGTCTATAAGATTTCTATGTAGGTGAGCAGACAAATAATATACATTCATATAGTTGAATGCCACGTAGCTTTAAAAAAAAAAAGTAAATCAATGTAACAATTTGGAAAGACCTCCAAGATATATTGTTAAGTGTGTTTAAAAAAAGAAAAAAAGGGCTGCATGTGGTGGCTCACACCTGTAATCCCAGCACTTTGGGAGGTCAAGGTAGGCAGATGGCTTGAAATCAGGAGATCAAGACCAGCCTGACCAACATGATAAAACCCCATCTCTACCAAAAATACAAAAATCAGCCAGGTGTTGTGGTAGGCACCTGTGATCCCAGCTACTAGGGAGGCTGAGGCAGGATAATCGTTTGAGCCAGGGAGGCAGAGGCTGCAGTGATCCACGAATACTTCACTATACTCCAGCCTGGACAACACAGCAAGACTCCATTTCAAAAAAAAAAAAAAAAAGTGTAAAAACAAAGACAAACAGTATAAATGAAACATGTTTAGAAAAAAAAAATATATATATATATCAGCCAGGCACAGCGGCTCACTCCTGTAATCCAGCACTCTGAGGGGCTAAGGCTGATGTATCACGTTAGCCCAGCAATTTGAGACCAGCCTGGCCAACAGTGGTGAAACTCAATTCCACAACAACAAAAAAAAGTAGCCAGGCATGGTGGCGCACACCCATAGTCCCAGCTACTCGGGAGGCTGAGGTAGGAGGATTGCTTGAGTCTGGGAGGCGGACAGTACGGTGAACTCAGATCATGTCACTGCACTCCAGCCTAAGCGACAGAGAGAAACCCTGTCTCAAAATAAAAATATGTACATACAGAAATATTCTTTTAACATTTGCAGAAGAACATTAAAAAAACATAATAGTTACTCTTGAGTAAGGGCAGGGGTTAGGGGAAGAGGTAAAGATTTGCTTCATCACTAAACTTGAATTTTTTAAAAAATAAGGTACAAGTACTACTTTCATAATTTTTTAAGTTGGTTTTAAACAGCTACTTTTGATCTGGCATATGTACAAATAGACAAAGCATTTCTAGAACTAAGCTGACCTCTGGAAAATCATTTGCTTTTTATAATACTGAAACACATTCAAATTTCCCCTTTGTTTCACATTCTTCCCCATACAGACCATTCTCATCCTATGCTTTTCCTTTCCCCTAAAAAGTCCCTCTCTTCTTCACCAAGTCATAACCTAAACATTCTTACGGGAACTATCTTCTGTTGTGCATATGCCTTAATTTGAGGGAAGGGGGGCATAGAATCGGCATCTTGTTAATTGCTGCTCTCTCTATTCATTTCATGGAGATGGCCTCTCTGACTGTAGGCAACGCTGTTTCTTATTCTGTTTGTGTTCTCCAACTAACCTGACACAGTGAGGCGATGCCTACCTATCGATTCA